TCTTCATCTCCACTATGACAAAATGATTCAATGTATTCTGTTGTGACTATATGTTTTCTTACATTGAAGTATGATACTGAATGTCATAGTTAACAATATTCTAAGATTCAATAAACAGTTGACTTTTTAGAGCTAAATGAATGTATACTGTTCCATAGTTTAAATGAATGATTCAGATCTATGTGTATCAATACAGCTAAATTGCCATACTATAGAATGAAAAAAAGCAAGTTGCTAAAGGGTATATATGATAGTTGTTCTTTTTTACTCCATAACATGGCATTGTGAATTATTTGTAAACACACAAACAGTGGCACATTTGCATGCACATAAAAATAAAGACATGTAAAGAAGAACACACTGACTTCAGTATCCTCTGGGAAGGTAGAACAGTATGTAAAGGATGAGTGATGGCTTTAGCAGAATCCATTACACTTGATTCTTTACCAAAGCAGGGACTGGGGATACAACTCAGCATTAGAACATTTGTCTAGCATGCTAGAAGCCTTTGGTTTAACTCCCCAATAACTAACACATACACACACATACACACACAAATTGATACAAACAGTGATAAAATACTGAACATTTTTAAAAGTGACCTTGTATCATATAAATGTGAAAAATATAGTGATTTAAAATTTATTTGACCTTGTATCATATAAATGTGAAAAATATAGTGATTTAAAATGTCTATAATAATAAATTACTTTGTAAAATAATGTGGAATAAAAGTACAAAAGTGTGGTGATATAAATATGACTACACAATAATTATCAAAGACTAAAAACAATCAGTTGTAACTCTACAACTATGACTTTAATTAGACCTAACCCAAAGGAACTGTATTAAAAATTCAGTGAAGTGAAAACCCGAAAAGATATATAGAATTTCCTGTTTGATTTTTCTGGAATAAACCTGTATTGGAAGTCAGTTTTCTTTAACAAAGATTCCAGTGACCTTGGAATTCCTGCTGATGTCAGAGGGAATCCCCTAGTCAAATGAAATCAGAGTCCTGTGTACAATCACTAGACAACAATGTTTCATATATTAAGTAAAAATGGTCAGAGTGAGAGCAAGCATGGATGAAAAAGAGTTCTAATCCTAACACACAGTACTGGGCCAAATACTAGTGTACTATAAGTATGGGCCAGTAATATAAACACTACCAATAAGCATTGAGAGAATAGCCCAGGTAAGAAGTACTTCAGAAATTTGAAGAAGAGATTATTTCCAGATGGGAGAAAATGAGGAAATCAAAGGCACTTGAGAGACTGTGGAAGGCAGCAGGCAGAGAAGGGACACCTGCCCTATGATCCTGCCTAACACCGCTCCTCTCTACCTTCCCCATTCTCACAGTCATAAGACAGAAACCCATTCTTTGAATTCTTGGTCTCACCACATATATTCATGCCAATCCATTCACAAACAACTGACAGGGTAACCTGGAAATTTAAATATGATCCTAATGGTTTATACAGACTGAAGCTGGAGTAATGTACATATAACACATAAGAAGGAAATATTAGCTTATGACACTCATGAAGTACCAGTCCTGTGTGACACATTTTAATTTGTACACAACTGTACTTAATAAAACCAAAGCCTCAAATAGATACCACTTCCAGGAATTTGAGTAAACAGAGAAATTGAGGTTACACACTCTCTGCTGGAGTCACATGGCGCTTGGAGTATTGGGCCAACTCAGTTTGCTGCTCTGTAAGTGGGTCATGAAAACCCAAATAAAGCCTAAATAAGAACAAGCATGATTAACTCAGTAAATACAGTGTATAAACAGGTGAAATAACGGGGGCTTACTTAAGGAAAGCGAAGACTTTTTACAAAGCTCAAGGACACTAAAATGTTGATCAATGGGTTTGTTCAGTAGATATCTATTAGGTATCCACCACTGGCCAACACCATGCTGAGCATGGGTGTACTAAGATGAATAGAACAGTGTTCTGGCTCTCTGGTGGGTTACTCCAAGCCTCTTGCCTTAGGGGTTACTTAATGCAAATGAGCAAAGATTCAAGCTGAGGGGTTACCAGAGCAAATCCTGGACCCATAGATAACAGTTGTAGGAAAGAAGAATTCAATTCTTCATAATCAAACTCTTTTCAATCAATAGGTCTATTAAACAACTCCCCTCCAAAATGCATGAGGAGAGGGCCAAGAACTTGTTATCAGGGATGTTATTCTAGGAATTCCATGATGATAGAGGATGAACCAGGTTGCAATTAACATACTAGAATGGAGATGGGCTAACTATACATCATATCTGTTTTATCTTATTCCTTGGAATAATGTTGAGATATGTTTCTCAAATTCCTTTGCAAACTAATGTGGCACACAGCTGATTCTAATGAGAATACCATTATGTGTGCTTGTAGGACTGCCTCACAAACATATATGACACCCTCCTTGCTCCTTCTCCCTGAACTCAGCTGAGCCTGGGAACCTTGGGAATCATGTTAGCAAACAGCAGAACTACACGACGGAAGGATCCTTGGTCCCTCAAGCACCTAAATCAAGCTGCTTCCTCACAAATAGCAGAAGCAAGAAGTAAATAATCACTAAGGCAATCGATGAGATTTGGAGATTTGTTTTTGTAGAACAGCAACATCACCTTAACTAAAACAGATATCTGCCTTGTGACATGATTTATTTTTTCTACTGGAATGTAAATTATTTTAAACCAAGAAATGACTCTTATTCCTCTCTGAGCACAAAATAGGCACAAAACAAACACTTCAAATATATGCATATCAAATGAAAGGAAATACCAGTGGTAAGAACTAGTATTGTGAGGCAGGATCATATAAGGCATATATTGAAATAGTTGATAACTTAGGGGAAAGCAGAAGATGTGAATATGGAGGTAATAACAAACAATAAGTTAGCAAGTGTGTGTGTGCGTGTGTGTTTATGTGTTTGTATGTGTGTGTGTACAATTTGAAATACATTTTTTTAAATTCTGTGTAATGCTTTGTAAAATTTTGAAAGCAAAAATTGGATGATATTTTTCAAAGGATGCCTCTGCATATTATGAAAATCTTGAGACTCATTGAAACAATATGGAAATTTTGAGAGACTCTTTCTGTCTCCTTTGCTGGATGGTTTTAGTCCATGAGATATATACTGTTTCCTCTTGAGTTAATTGGGAATCAATATGATATTTTTTTTATTATCAATACCCATTGCTCTCTTTGTGACTCTCTGATCTGGCTGAGACCTGATAGACCAAAATGAAATATTGGTTGAAATCATGCTCTTGGAGTTTTTCCAAACAGCACCAGAAAAGGAAGTGCCAGAAATTTCAGAAGAAAGCCTGTTTTCATGAGATTTCCTGCCTTCCTTACATCTCAACATGTCCAAATAGTTCAGATAACCTTCTGTTGAACACTAGGTTGCTTCACTCAGACTAGAATCAAGCAGCAGAGTTCAGACTCATCCACTCAACCATGGGTACAATTTAGGAACTATAACAATAAAGCAACTCAACCAAAAGGGACAGAGGATACCAAACTTCTGGTCCTGGCTGACTATGAGCTGAAGCCAACTTTCCTGCTTTGGCACCGGAAGATGCCTGGTCTTGAGCCAACGCCCTCCCATGGAGTATTTCCCTGTGTTTGTTTCATTCRCTGCTTATCACTGGCAAATTTTTCAACGATATCTTCCTTATAGATAAATCATCATTTTCCAATAATTTTTAAAACTGAAAAATCCAATGTTTTAATTTTTTTTGTGACCATTATATACAGCTAAACCCCCACACCATGTAGTTTTTAAAATCTTGGAAGCAGTAAGAACATTTTCCCCAACTAGACACTTAGCTATTTAAAATTAAAATGTTGAAATTGGACATGGTTTTGCCAAGTGACATGCCCTTTGCTTCCTTTGTCATCTACTTTTATCTGTGATATGAATGCATTCCTGGGTACAGCCATGCCACTAGGTTAAATTTTGATTCTACATTCTACTGCTTCCTCCCTTAAAGACCTGTTTCTGGTTTTTTCCATTCCAGGCATATACTTTCATTTGCTATAAAAAAAACTGTATAAATATCTTTCAGATAGTTTCTCTTCTAATGCATTTATTATTTTCAGTTTGCTATACTGTTTCATCATAATTTATACTCATATATCACCTATCACTACCTAAAATTAAACAAGCATGTATCCCAGAGCCTCTTCTCAGTCCAAAAACTCCAAAAAAGCTTCACAATCGTTTTAATTAGGCATTTTGTTTGTTTGTTTGTTTTAAGTAGGAAAACATCTAGAATCCTCCTCCAGAAAAACACATGGAGGAATATGCATAAAACAATTTCAACCATTATAAAGAAGATAGAAATACTCATGAAGCAAATTAAAATACTGACAAAATATTCAAACAATCCAAATTTAAAAAACACAATATTACTAAATACTAGCAACTTTCTGCAGACTTCCTAATTCCTTTTTTCTCTCCTTTGGAAAAGCTGGTTTGAGATTATAAATACAATGAAGCCAATAGTAAGGAAGAGTTTTATGGGGACACATATGACACACACATATGTGTACTATGAGCATCTCTGTTCAAGCTGAGATAGTGCAGAAAAGGGAGGTAAATAGATTTTCATTCCCTCCTTTCTRATTCTTTCCTAAGCTGTTGGAGAACCTGGCAGTGATCTTAGCTTAAGAAACCAAAGAAATGCCACCACATAGGTATGGGAGTAAACTACATTCTTATTTGACATCTGTAATCCAATTTTCTTGTAGGAACTTGCACAAGGAATTGAACTTTGAGAACCATTCCCCTCAACCTCTCTAGTTTCCTGTCTCAAGGAATCTTGCCCCGACTTGGACATTTGTGGTTGTTAATGTACATTACTACCCATACACCACAGGTGAGGAATGACGATGATCCTCCCTTCCCACTCCCGAAATTAACCACGGGAGGTGCAAAATAACCGAGGGTGGGGGGGGAGGTTACCATTTCCGTGTAATCCGTGCAAACCTTACCATGTATGTGCCACGGTGAAACGACGCTGTTTGGGGATGTTGCTACTGAGAAGCATCCTGCGCAGGAGCCTGGGGGAATTTCTCGGAGAAATCACTGGGGAGAGCTTGGGAGAAACGGATTTCCTCGCTGTCTTGGACTTCTCATGCTGCAACAGGTTTTCCCGCAAGGATTTCACAAGATCCTCATTCAGCCAAGGGTTGGGACCATGCGGATTATCCACTTCAGGTACTGTTAAGGTGTCCGGGCTYGTGGTCTGCTGAGCCATTTTCCTGGTCAACTTTGTACAGTTGGCAAAAATCCAGGGCAACGTGGTTGCCTGGCCTCTTTCCAGTGATTCCCTCGCTTGCTCCGAGTCTGGGAAATGTCCGGGAAAGCAGGTCGGATCCAGCTGCTGTTAGTTCATTCGGCCTCAATCTCTCGGTGGAGACGGGGCTGCGTGTGGACCAGGCGAGCGCAGCCCCTGCGGAAGCCTGTTCAACGTCACCGTCCTCTCCCGAGCCCCTGCCAAAGATCACTGACGAGCTCACAAGGCAGAGGAACATGGAGGGAAGCCACAGCGCTGGCGGCTTTTGTCAGCGCTACAAAGCAGCCTGTTAAACTATTGGAACTAATGCGCCGCAGCTGCTCGAGTGACTTCTGCTTATGTACATAAAAAGTCCTGGGGGGGAGGGCTTAACCATCAGATGCCTGCTGCTCAGTTGTTTGGCCAGGCTTTCCATTTGCTTATTCCTGAATCCAAAGGAAAGAAAAACTTTGAACTTGACCTTCCTCTCCTGCAAGGGCTACTTATCTCCCTACAGTTTGCGTTCATAAAAGAAAATTGCTAGCCCTTTGGTTTTTTTATAAGGGAAGAATAAACAGGCACTAGCTAAGCAGGAGAAATATTTCCCTGCCTACTAAACTCAGTCTCATGCACCTTATTATAAGACAAATCCCAAGAGTCCATTTCATCAAATGGACTCCGTCGTCCTCTAGTTAAAAACAACACACACACACACACACACACACACACACACACACACACACAAAGTTTCAAAATATTACACGTGAAACATATTACAGGTTGCCGTTGTGTTCCACAACCTTTTTAATGATGGCCCTTTCAAAGCACCAAAGGACAGGATTCAGACCATGAATGGTGTTTGTAATCTTTTGCATTAAAGCTCACACCCCACCAGAGGGTCAGGTGGTTTTCATAAAAGTAATAAAAAAAATGATTTTAAAGTTTCAGTTAGTACATATGTTAAATATATAATTTTATGTATTCAACCATTAAAGGGAAAATAAATCTAGCTTTTCATAATTTTAGTTTTGCATTTTAATGTATGATTTTAATTTGTGATGAATTTAGCTTCTACAGACTTATTCAGAAGAGGTTCAAAATAAATGAGAAGAAATTACTTTCTGTATGGAAAAAAGTAAAAATCTTGTAAAAAGTGAGTAAGTGATAAAGCCTAAGACTCATTATATGCATACTAGAAGTGCAGACATTAGAACAGCTCCAGGGGAAACCCAAACCTTTAGCAGAAGAATCAGAAGAGAGAGAGGAGTAGGGGAAGATAAGAGGGGAGAGAATGGGGAAGTGCTGGGGACTGAGAAAAAATTATATCCCATCCCCAGCAGACTGGTGATGTTACAGACAGTTTAGGGTTGAAATCAAATTGTATTTTCAGGGTCTAATACTACTTTACATTTGTTTAAAGACATAAAAACTTAAGAAGGAGCTACAGAATGCAACTATACAGAATGGAGACTGAAATAGAGTCMGTGACTTTTCTGGAGGGAGGGATTCTATGATTACTATTAGGCCAATTGTAAGTTTTTCCTGTTTCTCCTCCACCTCCACACACTGCTTCACTTTAAGCTTCAATTCTTTAGAGTGTTACAGATAAGGAGGGATATTTAGTTTCTGTTCACACAAACATAGGATCAACCCATTGGTCCATCTCTCCTGTTGTGGTACCTATAACAATTCATAGGGATCTATGTGTCATGATTTAATCAGAGTACACTATGCCAATATTTAAAATTGAAAAACCAGAGAGAAATAATAATTATTCCTTAACAGTTTTTATAAATATGTTTTCATCAATGTGCAAAATTAAGTGGCAAGGTTCCTTAGTGAATGTATATATCTATATAAACATACACCCATATATAATATATATCCTGTACACATATTTATGCTATATGCTTATTATTATATGTGTGTAAGTATAAAGTACATTTCTACATACACATATATTTTCAAAAGTGGGCAAAGGAGCTCCCAGATGCCTTAGTAGTTGTGCACAATAGGAGTACAATGCTTCCTCTCAAAGGGCTTATTTTAACATAATTAAAAGGCTAGAAAATGCATAGGAAAACACACCAGAACAACTGGGAAGTCACATAATCAAGTTTTGAAAATGGTATGTATATGTGATAAAAGAACTTTGTTATACAGATTGAAGACTGGGAGGTTCAAACATTAATGGAAAGGAAGATAAGAAAGATTTGTACCCACCAGAAATGAAAAAACTAGAAAGTGCAAATATAATAAAGAAGCAAAATGGGCAAAAAAAATAAGAAAAAGGAATGAAATAAGAAGGAAAAGAAACTCTGCAGTCACACAGTCAAAAAAGAAAAGAAAAGAAAAAAGATCAAAAAGATCCAAGAGGAYTGAAGGGGAGGGAGAAGATATGGGATAGGGAAAGACAGTAAAATGAGTTTGATCTAACTTTTCTATGTATGTATATAAATTAACCACAGTGAATCTCACCATCATGTATGTCCACAAGACACCAATTTTAAAAAACTGTAACTAAATATTTAGCAGAAGAATCAGTAGAGAGAARGGAACAGGGGGAGATAGGAGGGGAGGGAAAGGGAAGTGCTGGGAACTCAAGGAAAATTATATTCCATGATTTTATAATTTTGTCAAAATAAATCCTAGTGTTATGTATAACTAAAAAAATAAAAATGCAAAAGAAAGGAAAAAGTAGATAGAAAAATTGTTCAGGTTCAAAGAAAACAATTCACATTTTAGAATAATGTCAATAAAAAGCCAGTATACAACAAACTGACATGGAAAAAAATAAAATCTTCAAAAAATTTCTCACTTTTTCAAGATTCATTTAAATTCAACATATATTTGGGGGCATTTACTTTGTACTAAGCACCATACTGAGTGCTTAATGCCTTTCAAAGAGGAGCTTGATGATGCCCTTGCCAGCAGAGAGCTTGTAGTCTAGCCACAGGTGACGAGTACAAAACCACAGACATTCAGAAATACAGCCCAAGGACCCACACAAGAGCCTGTGTGCTGGAGATGTTTAAACGTCTGCTTTTAAAGAGACCAAAGTGACTCTTAATGACTAGTATAGAAAAATATACTACTTAGAATAATATGGGCTTTTTATTTAGAAATTCATTAAGTTCAAGAGATCCCAGATTCTTCTTCTTGCTTTCAGTGGCCTCGTATAAGGCACTTATGAAGAACAAACTGTTTACATGCTGGTCTTCTCATAAATGGTATTTATATAGGATGCTCATAGAGACTTGGCACTTTGTTGATGAGCACAATTAAGCTTAAATAGAAGATAAAACAATATTCTGTTAAAATTCCATTGGGCCGGTGGTGAGACATGGACTAAACCTAAAGGAGGGCATTCTGCAAGTCTCCCATTGTTTTGGTGGGTGTTGAAGGGCTCTATCACAATAGAGCAGGATTGAGAGCCTCTTCACAGGTCTCAATATCCTATCATCATCATTAGATTATTCCTAACAACCGCTATTCCCTCAAATGATGCATGCTGCTTTTTAAAAATAAAAATTTAATTTTGTTTTACAAATTCTTTGCTAAGACCCCTTGAAACAACTTGAAAAACCCAGCTGTGTTGCAAAGTCAGACTTGAAAATCACTGCCTTAGGAAATATAAATTTGTCAAGGTCTGATGTTAAAAAGGTGGGTGAGTCTTGGATAGACTGGCCATGTCCTTCATAGTAACGCAGAGGGTCAAGAGGAGCTTTTCCAAAAGGAGCACTCTAGAACCTGCCTTTTGCACAAAGTCTCTTTAAAATTAGCTACCAGAAACTCGTCTGGAAAACACTATACTGTAAGTGACAGCCAAATAAGGCCGTAGGTTTTTACAAGTGGAAATTTGCAAGTAGGCGAAGTGTTTTGATAAAATCACCTAAGCCTAGAACAGCAGATAACATCTCAACTTCATAAAGTTTTCCTAAATACCTCTTGGTGGGTTTTCAAATGTTTTTTTAGATTATTCAGAACTTGACAACATTTTGTTTTATTAATTATTCATTGACAGTAAAACAAAGAACACACGATTTAAGCAGGACAAAGATTGGAAAAATATACCCTTGTCCAGGTAACTGCAAGTGCGGGATTTCCCACAATTGAAAAGAAACAATTGTGTGGTTCATTCAAAAGAATGGATAAATTAAAATGATTTATACTTGACTAAAGAAAGCATTGTTGGCTTCTCCTGACTTTGTTTTAATTAGGTAAATATGTATAACTATGAGATTGTTTTCAAATTGCCCATAGGATGTGGTCCRTAGAAATGACCACAGAGTGCATGAGAGGTTGTTGTCTAATGGTTAAGAGGGTGTGGCATGTGTTTGGAGCTGAAAAGCTTGTCTCGAACCCCAACTGTGCTCTTTACTATTCGTATTACTTTGTGGCTCTTCATCTGTGAATTAGAATGAGGATAATTTTGAGGAGGAAAAGGAGGATGGGGAGGAGGATAACTATTATGTAAAAATGATGCAAGGATCAAATATGTTAATACTCATGAAATAAAATGTACTTTAGATTATACAGAAGAGAGTGAAAGGAAGGGAGGGGCAAGAAGATTAGTAGAATGAATCAGACATTATTACCCTATGTGCATATATGATCACATGACCATTGTAACTCTACATCATGTACAACCAGAAGAATGAGAAGTTATACTCCTTTTAYGTATGATGTGTCAAAATGCATTCTACTGTCATGTACTACTAAATAGAAAAAAAAAATTTTGAAGTACTTGATACACAATAAGCATCCAATAAATGATACCAGAAATGTACACTTTCTAGATACAAATTATGTGCCTGGAATTTTACATTTTATTTGATTTAATTATTGCAATCAACCTAAGGGTGGTTTTTCTTTTGTTTTGTTTTATGCTATTTCATAGATGAGAGCATAGGAAGTTACAGAACTTGCCAAAGGGCATCATAATTCAAACATCAGTAGATGTGGGATTTGAAGTCTGAGGTGACAGGCCTTTGGTTTTGATGCTATACCACAACACCCCAAATAGAAAAGCTGCTCTAAAATTTAAAATCAATTATAGCTATTTCTCGGGAAAATAATAGACACTTGAGGGCTTTGAATTCTTGGTCCAGTTAGCACTAAATTCTGCCCTTGACTGCACTCAGAACACACACCRTGACAACC